GGAACAACCGTTCCTCAAGGTCCTACCATGTCAACAGGTCGGTTGAAGAGCGGTAAGACTAAAAGCAACAAACCCAAGGTCCGAAGGCGAAGTCGTACTGCTAACTGTACAGAGGTGTGACAGCAGTAAGGTGTTTCCTTCAGACAACCAGCATGACAGCGATGCTGCCTTCCCACAAGGAGGGGTGGGGTTAGAAAAGGTCGACCCTAAAAATCCACACCTCACCTTACCTCACGGATTTCCGTCTCCGGCGGTAAGGCCCTCTGAAGAACGGAGCTAACACGTCAAAAACCTCCCACGAAAAAGGCCGTGCGCGACCGGCCTCAAGCAGTTGTCCCTTGGGCACTGCGGTCACGCTCTCAGGTCACTGAGACCACCTCTAATCCAATTTCCTTTTCAGGTACCTCCAGAAGAACCCTTCCTCGGTGTGGGCAACCGGGAAGTGATAACCGCCCTCATACCTCTAACAGCACTCGAGACTCTCATCTGTTAATCCTCTTATCTGTTTCATATATATTTTTGTGAGACTATAATTATGGACGACCTTTGAGCGACACTGGGCTGACCTTGAGAGTGTCCACCTAATAAATATGACTAAATGAGGGTCATAAATCATTGTGAGGAATTAGAATTATGATTTACAGTTGATGATTGAGGTTAGGAATTAGATTTATGGTTTTCATCACGAATTGATATCAGTTATAATGGCAAAACTCTATTTATCCAAATGGATGAGTGAACTTCGCGACAAAATGCAAGACGTGATTGGTCCGTGCATAAATTATAGTTTCGTCGATATTTTTGCTATATTATTATTGTTATGTAATATTATCTAAAGAATATTTATACTTAGTGATATTATTGTCTTAATGTTTCATCAACTTGCAAACTTACTTACTCACTTACATCTGTTACTCTAATGAAGCATAAGCCGCCGACCAACATTCTCCAACCCATTCTGTCCTGAATCTTCCTTTCTGGTTCTATCCAATTGTTGATCATTCTTCTTATGTCTGTCTGTCTGTCTATCTCCATTTCTCGGCGTTTTGTGTTCTTAATCAATTTGTATAGTAACACAATAATATCAATTCAATAACAAGTCCATGAAGTCACTGACAAGTGGACTGAGTCATGTTGGTAGGTGTAGACTACCTAGTTGGGGACCGCGAGGTGATAGCAACCGATAATTAGAGACCCTGAATGACATGGATCAAAATCGTTTTCAATGGCGCAGATGCATACACTCTTTGTGTTCTCCCAAATTTTGATCTGATTCCTCGTCTCTTTTTTCTCTTCCCAATTTTATTTCACTGTATTATACTCTTTAAATAACATCTCCAAACCCTAATCTTTCCGATTACTGCTTATACTCTTACTACCTCTACCACTACGGGATTTGAATCGACAACTGCATCTCTGTGCTAATGTGGCATGGCAACTCGAACTGATGTACGTACGTACGAAGTTCTATGTTGTTACTGACTGACTGACTGAATTCAATAACAAATTCAAATGAAATATCATCATTTGTATTGTATCCTCTTTCTAAAAGTGTTTTTATTTTACTTATTTATTATTAAATTGAATTCACCTGTAGGTTAAGCCAACATAAAAACATGTACATGTTCCTCCATATAACTTATAATGTTTACATTACTTAACTATAAATAAACAAAATAAGCCTTATGTATTGAATACCAAATATAATTAACGTTACATTATTTTAATGAATAAACACACACACACACACACATAGATTTACCTGATATTATAAGAAATCAAAACAATTTAGCTTTACACTTTATTACTTCTTATTGAAAGGTGATAAACATGTTCAATAGTAGTAATGAAAAACAAATGTGTTTTTGGGAGTAATGAACTTTTAATGAAACCGGTTATTCTAAACAAATTACTACAGATTGTCGTTGTCGTCATGGTCGTTGCCGTCGTTGTTGTTGTTGGTAGTAGTAGTATACACCTTTCATTTATTAATTACTCACATTTTTTCTTGTTTATAATTAAATAATAGAATGTGTTTTTTGTTTATTCTTGACAGATCTCTTGTTATTGTGTTTTATATTAAGTAGTATAATGCAACATACTTCACTTTTTGTTTTGTTTTGTTCTGTATTGTTTGTAATATATGACATTTGAATGAATAATCAACTTTATAGATTAGTGTAATTTTAAACAAACAATTAGAAAAACAAACAACACATTAGGCATGCTGTGTTTACATAGAAGAACAACAGAAACAACAATGAATGATTACTACTTTTCTGACAATTTATGAGGAATTAGTTCATTTTAGAAACATGGTATTTGAAAGAGCATTACATTATCATTATGGTATGATCTGATAATTAGATAGGGGTTAATTTTGAACCTTTTTATTAATATCAGAAAAGGGGTTTTGTGGAGATTTTAGTGTATTTATAGTTAACTTCATGAGTTAATTGAACTTAGATCATCATGGAAAACCTGGAATCAATGAACGACCGTTTCGTCCTATTGTGGGACCCCTCAGCAGTGCGCATTCATGATCCCGCCCCGAGAGGTTCGAACCCATGAACTATCAGTTTCGCGCGCGAACGTATAACCTCTAACCCACTGAGCCGGCTGGCATCCAACAGTGTTAATGTCTAACACAAAATTGAGCCACCGTCCATCATTGTTTTCAGTGATTTACTATCTCACGACTGACTCGGTTGAACTCCATTGGACACTGTTTTTCACTAGAACTCCAGTTTAAGCGCTCGCGCACGAGACTGATAGGTCTTGGTTTTGAATCCCACGAGGCGGGGTCGTGGATGCGTACTGCTGAGGTTTCCCACAATAGGATGAAACGGCCATCCAGTGCTTCCAGGTTTTCCATGGTGATCTAGCTTCAATTGACTCATGATCTTAACTATTTTTTTTAAATGTCAGAATAAAGTATAGAAATAATATTTCCATTAAACTAATCAATAGGGACTTTTATATCGTTGGTAACCTGAATATTTATAAAACTATTAATAGAGAAAAACATAAATCATTTAAAGATTCCCATCATATTAAAAGACTATTATATAGTGAATGAAGAATATCCTTTTCGATCAATTCTCTTTAAGTTCTACAATTCATATATCCAAATTAATAATCCGAAAACTGGTCAGGTTAAGGGTCAAGTACATCGTTTAAAGTAAAAGCATGTGAATTTAGGATTGTTAAACAAAATACTATAAAGTTGGCTAAACAAAACTTTGATGAAGAAAGTGAACAGCTCGATATTGGCCCATTTAATATAAACCGGTCATAGTGCTATTATAAATCAATCCTTTTCAATCATTTATTTGGTCAGTAATATTTTGCCAAAGCTGGTCAGACTTAAAGTTCTTCAAACGGCTAAAGCAATAGCCAAGCGGATTAAGAAACCGGAGCTATACGTACAGAATAAATACCTTCAACCACTCCTTCTCCCCTGGCCAACATCAAGGCCAATTAATCAACAGTAATCTTAGCTATTCAATGATCTAATTTGACTATTGTAATTAAAAACTTTTTTAGTCAATTATAATTGTCTCTGTTATGTTTATTCACAAATTTTTGTATTATTATTATTATTATTATTATTATTATTATTATTAATATTATTCACTTGGTATTGTTTTGCTTGAATCTTCCCATTGAGGTTTAAGACTGTAATTGATCAGTCTGTTGTTGGCATATGTGCATACTGTGCGTATTGGGTCGATATTGCCTTAATTCATAAGCTTTATAAGCAAAGATGGATAGTGGATAACGCGATGGCGTTTGAAGCGAATGATACTGGGTTCGGGTCCTAGAGTGAACATCAACTCAGAGATGCAAGTACACCGAGCTGACGAGTCCCAAATAGGAGTGGTCGAAGATATTTCTTTTGTACGCACAGCTCCTGTTTCTTAATCCGCTTGGCTATTGCTTTAGCCGTTTGAAGAACTTTAAGTCTGACCAGCTTTGGCAAAATATTACTGACCAAATAAATGATTGAAAAGGATTGGTTTATACTAACACTATGATCAGTTTGCACTATATAGTCCAATATTGAGCTGTTCACTTTCTTAATCAAACTTTTGTTTAAACACATAGCCAAACATAAATATTTGAAATTGGAGGTTGTAATAATTAAATGATGTAACCCATTTAGTTAAGAATAAAATGACTTTAACAAGAGAAAACAGAGAAACTAAAATGATGACATTCCGAACTCAAGCTTCTTTGAGTCATTTTAAAAGCTTTTTAAGTTACTGAGCAACTGGTATGAAAATAAATGTGATGGTTACCACCCTACAGAATGAAAAAGTTCGATTTAATTCTTGGATTTAATAATTCATTTCTTAAACCATAAAGGTATATGTTAGAAATGATGAACGAAAAGGTTAAGACCTTTTTACTCAACTACAGATTGGTATTAAAACTCAAATGCATAGATGAGTGTAGTCACCACTAGAACTTAATTACTTATTTACACCTGCTACTCCTTGTGGAGGAGCATAGGCCGCCCACCAGCACTCTCCATTCAACCCGATCCTGGGCAATCCTTTCTAGTTGTTTCCAGTTGCTTTTCATCCTTTTCATATCTGCTTCTATTTCCCAACGTAATATGTTCTTTGGCCTTCTTATTTTCCGCTTCCCCTCAGGATTCTAAGTTAGAACTTTCCTGTAACTCTTCTAGAGTTACTGGTGGTCCCAAGCCCGGGTAAAGATGGAGGGTTAGGCATGGGGTCGGCAACCCTATCCTATAGAAAAAAAATCTCGCTTTAAATACGCCAGAATAGTTTTCTTTCAGAAAATGACTTTTGATTTGATGAATTTAAGTATTCTTTCAATAGATCTCTTTAGTTCAAACACTGAACTGTAGTTTGCTATCTCATCACATTCTACTGTTAGTTGTTTTCATCAACGTTTAGAAAATAAAATCAGACGATGGTATTTCTTTTCAAGTCACTACTTATTTATTATGATTATTGTTTTTAATTTAGGAATGGAAATTACATGAACATGTAGAGATTAAAAAACGAATTATTAAACAAGAATATTCTAGTTCAATGAAAAGTCATCCATGTTTATCGGTAACATGTCGAGCAGCTAGACGACCCGGATATTTTTATTGGAATGTATTTCTTATAATGGTAAGATAACATATATTATATATGATGAATGAACTTGTCATTAATTTACTGAGTATACAAAAGTAGTTTATTAATTGTTATGTTCTTAGATTATTAATTTCAATGCTGTCTATGAAGAAATTGGCTAGTAATGGATTCATCACTATACAATCTACCTGTTGATATATCTTATTGCTAAAGCTAAACGCTGTATTCAAAGTATGAATTCGATTAGTTTGTTCTATCAGAAGGGATTTTTTGGAGAATGTAGTAATTTCAGTAGTTGAGATTATGAGTCAGCTAAGGCTAGACTACCATGGAAAACCTGGAAGCACCAGACGGCTGTTTCGTCCTATTGTGGGACTCCTCAGCAGTGCTCATCCGTTTTTGGATGTCGGCTGGCTCAGTGGTCTAGTGGTTAGGCGCTCGCGCGCGAGACTGATAGGTCCTAAGTTCGGATCCCGCGATCGGGATCGTGGATGCGCACTGCTGAGAAGTTATATACTAGGACGAAACGACCGTCCAAAGCTTCCAGATTTTGCGTGGTGGTCTAGCCTCAATTGACTCATGATCTCAACTATTGTAATTTGTTCTTGTTAGACAGTAAGAATTTCTAGATATATCTTATTAATAGTGATAACGTTACAAATGAAATAACGAGTTAATCTTAAGGGTACTTTTGGCGTCGAATGAGATCATCATTTTATTGTTTCAATGATCCACTTAATAATCGATTGGTAAGGTGATTCAACCATGTCTACAATGAAACACAGTGGTGACTGAAATCTATGTGACTTAAATAGGCCATGTAGTTTTGATACTATAGAATATGAATGTTTTAGTTAGTCTAATTCGTCGAATGTCTTTTATCGACTTATTTTAGGATGATACATGAGGACATAACACTAATTAGTACTTCATTACCCAATAATAATTCCATTTTAATTGAAATAGAATATGGGGGGAAACAGTTGGGTTGTTTCAATGAGTCGGATAAAAGATCATTCAGTAGAGAGACATGAACAAATTTTTCAACTCATCATATATGCAAAAGTCGAAAAAATTTTCCAGTTCCCAGTCTTAACGAAATTATTTTTCTGGTTAGCGTTTTTTTAGTTTTCTACGGGATGAGGTCGCTAACCACGTGCTCAACCCTCCTCGTTTGTCCGGGATTGCGGCTGGCAGTAGCCCCAGGGGGGCTCCAGACGGAAATAGTCTTAATAAAACTTAAAACATAACAGAAGATAATGAATGTTGAATAATTTGATTATCAACTTTTGAATGAACATATATTTGGAAACATAATTCAATATTAAAATAATTATTTTGATATTAGATCCAATGGACAGCTAAGACAAGTAAAATTTCAATGAAATCATGTTGGATGTAAGGAGGCAGTTATCCACTGAAGGCAATAAAAGATAGTTACACAATATTGTGGACTGATTCAAATTAAACTACATTTAAATTGCCATGTAATCTGAAAAAAAAATTCTTAAAATTGCTAATTGAATAATGGCATATATTTAACTGTTATCCTTTGCCACTACCATCAGATCACATATTAAAATGAAGATCAGCTAATGATTTATGATAAGCAGCCTGATTAAATATCTGGGCTACATGTTCCTGCAATTTAGATATTTCAACAATTTATGTGTATTTCTAAGCAAAGATAGATAGTGGCTAGCAGTGGAATCCAGGACCCTTGTCCCGTCTTATTTGGGAATTGTCAGCTGGTTATACCTGCAGTCCGTACAGGATGCACATATGCCAACATGAGACTGATTGTTTACAGTACTAAATAACAATGGGAAGATACAAGTTTGTTTCAACAGATCATAAAGTCACTTAATTGCACAACCTATTCATGTGGATTTGAGAAAAGTTCACGACGTTTCGCTATACAAGTGAGAAAGAGTACAATCAGAGACATTGTGGTTGCTAGCAATATACTTTGAAAAGATTGTACATTATTCAGATGTCATATTGTGAAATCAAGGATATGTGTCTTGTTCTATTAGGTACTTGCTACTTACATCATTGTTTTGATCTTCATTTTGGAACCCCAACACAATACCTATCCCTTTAAATGACTCTCAACTAGTCTACTGAGTCTAAATGCTCACTAAATTGTTCATCAAGTATGATAGTATTAGGAACATTTATAATTTCTCGTTATTGATTTAAGTAACGAATTTCGATGAGCCATTTCTTATGTATGTACATTTTGAATGATACTACCTTTTGATTACAAGTTCTTATTGAAGCGATATTATGATTATCAATGTAATTCTTGGATCCTGTTTCATTCATTTCAATGTTTCATTATCTTTACAAACAATTCGAATAATAAAACTATTTTCTTCTTTTATTCAGTTCATGATTTCTGGTTTGGCATTTGCTACATTCGCTGTTTCACCGGATAAAGCAGAACTTCGTCTACGTTTATCATTTACATTAATTCTGACCAGTGTCACATTTAAATATGTGATTACACAAAGTTTACCAAAAATTTCATATTTAACTTATATGGTAAGTTATTTATACTTAGTACTGCTTCATTTACTGGTTTTATTCGAATAGATTTATATTAGTAAAGATTATAATTGTAACTAATGATGACATTGTAGGTATCGTTACTGAGGTTTGACTTGATAATTTCGAATAAATTAGGCATTGGGTAGATTGTTATAAATGAAATAAAAGTAATATATATGTGGATATGTGAATGAGTAGAAAATTAGATTTTCTGACATTTCATGACTCCGTGTAAGCCACTTCTTCAGAGTTTAAATAGTACAAAGGAACAACACAAAAATATTATGTGATCAAACGGGGAAAAAAACAGATCTGAACAAGTCAATATCATATCATCCCGGTTAAGGTCATTTATAAGCGAAATGTATGTAACTTTGTGTATATGTGTGTATGCGTGTAACGTCAAGAATGAAGCAAATGTGACCTTTGTATTGATCTGGTTGTTTAGTCTCTGAAGAAGTGGCTTACAATGAATCACGAAACGTCAGAAAATTCGAGTTTTTCTACTCATTGTGATATACTGATTTATTTATAATGATGATATTCTTTTTACAGAGTCTTTCTTGAAGTCAGTCGAGATTACAAAGATTGTAGTTGTTCCATTCGATTCAATAAAACATAAATTTCACTATAAATGGAAGTTTTGGCGAGACTATAATTTATGGACCAACCAATCAGATATAAGATAACACATCTCGGATTTTGGCGCGAAATTCATTCATCTATATGGCTAAATAGAGTTTTGGCATTCTAGCTGATATCGGTTCGTGACGAAAACCCTAAATCTAATTCCTAACCCTAACCATCAACTGTAAATCATAATTGAAAATCCTCATACTGATTTATAACGCTCATTTAGTCTTATTTATTAAGTGGACACTTTCAAGGTCAGTCCAGTGTCACTCAATGGTCGTCCATAAATTATAGTCTCACCGACGTTTTAGTAAAACAGTACATTTATGAATACTATTCAATATGAAGTCAGTCTTTATTACTTTTTACCACTTCTTCAATTGAATTTAGATTATGATAACAATGATTGTTAAATTGTTTAGGATTAATGGAAAGTCTGTTGTTTGTTTGAATCATCCCATTAATGTTTGAGACTGCAAATGATCAATTTCAACATAAAAAGGAAGATTCAAACAAACAATACAAAATGAGTTATTACTTCATCGGGTTGCACAACTAGTGGCTATCAGGAATCAATATCTAAGTGGATAACGCGATGATATTTGAAGTGAACGATACTGAATTCGAGTCCTGAAATGAACATGACAAGTCTCAGATAGGACAAAATGCGTATCCTAGATTCTACTGCTAGCTACCACTTATCTTCATTTATAGAATTTATTTTGTTTATCTTGAAACCAACATTGCACTATGTACGTCATTTGAATGTCCTAAAATTTAGATTTAATTACCATATACTTATTAACAATCAATTGAAGTTAACTTTAATCTGAGTCATTTCATTGAAAATTAACCGCTAATTTAATGACAGGGTGAACAATTTCGGGGGTTCAGTTGTTGATTAACACACACACACACACACACAAACATAGACATTCATGCATGGTTACACATTCGAAGAAATTGTTTTCATTTGCAACTTTATTTGAACAGTAAAAAAGTTCTAAAAAAAAGAGTAAAAAGAAAAGTGGGTTTTTTGTGTGTATCATTTCTGAAATAAAAATAAAATTCCGATACATAAAAGTCAAATTTATTTAAAAATTTCGGCCCCAGTGACAATTATTACATCTGGTGTCTGACAGAGAGAGAGAGAGAGGGACAGGGGGGGACAGATAGAGAAAATGAACGAAATTAGCATTCTATATTTATCTGACTTGTACATTTTTTATTGATTATTTGAAACAAGTTTGATTTTTTTTTCGTACAAAGTTCGGGTTTAAATAAGAATGACAAAATTGGACAGAATATCGATTTAAGATTTTAATAGATCATTTATGTTATTAATATGAAATTAGCTTAGATACAATTGAAAGTTAAAGAGTATTGTACGATGGTTTCGTTCTAGTGTAGTAAGCATCTGCGATGGATTGAATTTCTTTATAGGAAACAAGTTAAACAAATTGAAGTCAAGTTAATGTCTTATATTCTTGGTGTATAATTTTGTTTTAAAAAAATTTAAAGCAATTAGTCCCCTTTGATGAATTTCGATAATGTAATAAGAAGACGAAGATTATCAGAACTATCAAAGAAAGAACAAGGTGCATGCTTCATCTAAAACCTAAAAGACATGAAAACGATTGTGTCACATCTCACTGTGTTTACCAATTTAACTGTGTGTGTGTGTGTGGTCACACATACCTAGGGAGGAGCAATCGTGATCTCAAAATTAGGGTGTGTGAACATATACCAAAATGGTTGCAGAAACAAATAGAATCAAGTGACCCAATAAGAGCAGAGGATAAACATCCATCATCCTCTATTACTAAACATATAATCGAAACAGATCATAAGGTGTAAAAATAAATATGGTGATATGATGAGCATTTACAAATAAAATAATGAGAATGTAAGACGTAAGTAAAGGGGGAATATAATAATAATAATAATAATAATAATAATAATAATAATAGGATAATCAAAATAGTTAAGGCCAAGGTAACGATAACGATAAGACGTACTTCTGTTGTACGCATAGTTCTGGTTTAGGCTCCTGGATGGTAAGAGCTTCGTCTATTTTTAAGAGTTCGATACGAAGAAATCTGGGTAGATTTGAACAAATCATATAAACAACCTTAAAATCAGATTGTGGATCTGTAGAATGATTACAGTTGATTAGGTGGTCAAGTATAAAACTCCTAACTGCTTTCCTTTCACCCTTATAGAACCAAGCTGGGATATGTTCCCGTATCCGAGTTGAAAGCTAGCGCTGGCTACGGCCAATGTACCTTATTCCACAAGAGCAGGTGAACTGAGATTACTCTTATTATTATCTTCGTCTCCTCTTTCTCCCATTTTCAGTCTAGTTGACGTTTTATTTTTTTTATATATAAATGTGCTTAACAAGTATATTATGTGTGATCAGATTGTTCGAAATATCCACCGCTAATATATCATCACAACTCCGCCTGGAGTCCCTCCGGGGGCTACTGCCGGTCCCAAGCCCGATAAAGGAGAAGGGTTGGGCATAAGGTTACCGACCCCATCCCGTAGAAAACTAACTGGCTAAAAATACGCTAACCAGAAAAAATTATTCAAATCTTTTAAACTCTGCCCTGGGAGTCAGAAGTTCTTCATTTAGAAGAGCTATGACGCCTCATGATGAAGCGTGAGTTCCTCCGGAAGTCACGAGGCCGATGCCCCTTCTGACATCCAGAGCAACCATTTATTTAGGTACATGGAAAATGCTAGTCGGTGGCCTATGTTCCACTAGGAGTAACAGGCGTAAGTAAGAAAGTAATATGTCATCATATAGTTCTGATAATCTTCGTCTTCTTATTACATTATCAATGTACAATTTTGTACTGTTAAAAAATAAGAAGCTATTGAACTAATGAATTCATTAAACTGAAATTCTATGACGTAATTATATTTTGATTTAGACCCTATATATATATAGATACCTATGATGATAAATTGTTTTTCTATAGTTTTTTTCTGTTATATTATGTTTTTACATAACCTGTGTTTATTTGGTAAATCCATAGTTGAAATGTTTCCTATTCAATAGTGAATGGAACAATAAACATTTTTAGTAAATGAAGCAAAATATTTTCATGTTGTACTTTTACTGAACTTACTTTCTCTTTAATGAGATGTTTCGCCTGTTAAAAGGTTTGAATAATTTTTTCTGGTTAGCGGTTTTTTAGCCAGTTAGTTTTCTAGCGGATGGGGTCGGTAACCCCATTCTCAACCCTCCTCCTTTATCCGGGCTTCGGACCGGCAGTAACCCCCAGGGGGGACTCCAGGCGGAGTTTCTTTAATGAGATAGTTGTCTATAAATACAATTGGTTAACAATACGTTATTATTGACTTCTATATGGATTTTTAGTCTTATAGATCTTATAGAGTAGTAGTTACGTATGTGTAGAAGAATCCTAAACTCAATGTTCATGACTAATTATATTGTCAAATGAGGTGAATAAAATTTTCTAAAAAGTGAGTTTTTAATAATTGAATTCACAAGTTGATCTAAACTAGATCATCATTGGAAACTTGGAAGTACTGGACGATTGTTTCGTCCTAGTTCATGAACTCTCAACAGTATGTATGTGTGATCCCACATGTGGGACTCGAAGTCAGGATCTTCTGTCTCGCGCGTGGATGTCTAACCTCTAGACTATTGAGTCGGCTTCCAACAGTGTTACTGTCTAACTTCAATCAATCCATGATCCTGAGCAATCATTCATCCGCTGTCTTCATCTAACACCGATCGGACTCCACTGGTTACGGCTTCTCGCTAGAACTTCAGGAAATCCATCTTGAAGACAGCCACTAGTGAGCACATGATGATTATTATTGGAATGAGGGTTTTGTGGAATATTTTTTACCTTTTTGATCTGCGCTATCAGCTAATAAACTGTAGTTGCCGCTTTTCATTGTTCTCTGATTTTAAACATCGTTGAGATTTTTATATTATAACGGTTATTGAAGTGATTGATTAGCGAAGATTCTTATTTTTCTACTCAATAAATATGCACATTCAGTGTTTGCTATAAAAAGGTTATTATCTCTTTCTTGATATTCAATTTCTTTTACTTTCAGGATAAGTATGTTTTAATGTCGTTATTCATTCTGTGTATAATCAGTATTTGGCATGCAGTTGTTACATTGATTGGTTTAGATTTTGATTTACCCGATTCACCTGGATTTGGATCATCTTTACCTAGTACTTCTACAACTACTACTACAAGTACTACTAATACTACTGCAACTACTACAGCTGCTATTATTTCACCGAATTTAAATGTAAATACAACAAATCAAAGCCCTAGATTATATTTTCCTAATCATAATAAATCAGAATCAATACAGTCTATTCCTAATCATTCTCAAATGAAAATATCAAATTACAGTAAGAACAATATATACACATTTATTTTGTTATTGTTATTTCTATGATAGACCATCAGTAAGCAATAAAACGTAGGTTTATGTTTTAACACAAAGTGATATCAATTTATGAATAAACAAGCGAACAAACTAAAGAATAGTTTATAGTTTTTGTTGAGATCATGAACAACCAGTGAACACTTGGAAGAACTGGTTGATCGTTTCGTCTTAGTACGGGAATTTTAAACAGTAATTCCCGACGGTTCTACGACTTTCGATCTTGCAAGTGAACAGTTAACCTCTGGAAAACTGATCCACGATCCAGTGATGTATAAGTCTAATTTTAATTGATTCGTGATCTCAATAACATTTAAGAATCTCCATAACCCCAAACTAATAATATACATTAATTTCAATTGAAGATATGAATGTTACGAACATAAATTGTACGATTGTTTACGTTTAGCACCAATACAACTAAACGGAGACTAATTTAAATTTGGTCCGTCACAAGAGACAATTCGGATAAGAAAACTTAATGACACTATAATTTATAAACAACCTTTGAGCAGCGCTAAAATAACCTTGAAATGTGCACCTAGTTACCAAGGTTAAATGAGGGTTATAGATTAGTGTGAAGGAATTAGGATTAGGATTTACAGTTGGACGTTAGCGTTAGGAATTAGATTTGATGTTTTTAGCACAAACTGACATAAGCTGTAATTCCAAAATGATATTTAACCAAATGAGTGAATGAATTTCGCGCCAAAATTCAAGTACTGCTATCTTAAATGTGATTGGTTCATTTATAAATTATAGTCCCGTCGAAAACTTCATTCGAACTGATAAGATCTATCATTAGAGTAGAAAATTCAACTTGGTGAAGATAAACTTAACTATTATAGTACTACTCGTAATGTTTGTTAGGAATACTATATAGGGTACAACACGAAAATCTCAAGATAATGAATGTGTAGGGTCAGTGAAGTGTCACTGAATCCTAGTTGGGTCACTGAATATCGAACAAATCATCGATCCTTATCAAGGTCAAGGACAATCAACTCGCATCAGTTAATCGTACGATATGGACTGGCCCATACGGCGGTGGTTTTACTTTCGCTTTTATCTACATTAACTGATATATTTCTGTAATAACGAACTCTGTGTAATACAGTCTTCAAAGCCGTCATAGTACTTTAATATCTCTAAGGAGTAGTCTACGTTAGATGCTGACTGCGAGGTGTGAATTCGAAGTTTTCTGTTTCGTCACACCATTCCCGCCTAACTCGAGTAGGCCTCCAATCGCTCGACATAGATCATCTGCAAAGGAAAAGAAATAGGCTTTAAAAGTCGATTTCATCAGAAAATTAAGGAAGAAATAGTAGATAGATTGCAGTAAGTAAAACTTTGGATTCCTAACATTTCAAAACTTAATGTAAGTTACTTCTTCAGAGTAAATAACTGAAATAACCAAACTGAATTAATACAAGTTTAAATGGTCTATATAAACGTCAGAAATTCGAATTTCTAATCACAGGGATATTACAAAAATATAATTGTTTCATTCTTATTAACCTTCTATTCAATGCTTAATTTATTTAAAACTATCCAATTCAACCGTGATATGGATATCTAGATAAATTCAAAGCTCCATTGTTGACATCTAAGCAATTCTAAGACGACTACCCTTGTTCAGAGATACATAATTCATGAAAATATAGTGAAGGAGAATGATGTGAACAGGGAAACAAGAAGCCTTGACAAACTACGAAAGCTATTTTACGGGACGTTATTTCATTTTATTCAAAGCTTGTAAAACACTGACATTTATTTTTGTCCCTAATCTATTCTACAGAACATAATCTTTCGTTAGATGTATGATTCATTGCCATACCCTTTTCTGTTCCGAAGCCATTGTAATTTAAACATAATATTTTGCACCCTATTTTCTACGCTAATTCCCGGCTTTGTACATAATTGTATTTTTCCTAATTATTGTACGATTTGGTCTAGTTAGTCACCCATTTATTCATGTACCTTTTTACACTAATCTGAAAATCAGGGAAATCAAGGTATCGGGAATAGATCGAATAGTGTTCCAGTTGTCTTGTTTTCTCTCATTCGCGTGCTTGTCAGTCAGTCAGGTGATAGAATAGTTTTCTTCTCTCTACCACACTTTGAACTCACGCGTACTAGCCTCAAGGTTAGGTCGGTCTTAATCTGGATTAGATAAGTATCCTCAGCACCAAAAGTGGGTATATAGACCAAAGGACATAACAGGGAACACCAGTGAGAACAACCGGATGTGTCTCAACACAACACTAGAGAATCTCTTAGTAAGATATGAGAACCATACAATAAATACTTCATTTGCAAAATGTCAATCAATTGTCTCAGACTTCAGTTTTCCTTCATTTTCATACCAATCATTTTCTGTTCTCGTTCTTTTTCCTCTGATCTTCTTAACCGTCTGCCGCCAAACATTTCCCTTAAATTTACTGAAGCTACTTTGGTGTGTGCTACTGATGTCAACAGCTATAAATAGTATGTATCATTAATCGAAAGTGAAATGCCTGAAGGCAGAAGGTTAAGAAGATGGAAGAAAAAAGAACGAGCAAAGTGAATGATTACTGTGAAAGTGAAGGAACAATTAAATCTGAGATAACCGATTAACATTATTCACTGTATTGTTCTCAGATTTTACTAAGATGTTCTATAATTTTGTGTTGAAATGTACTCGATTGTCCTCACTAGTGTTCTCATTCACTACACTAGAACTATTTAACACTTAAAACCTAGTTCATTTGTTCAAAATAAACATTTATAATATCATTATTACCCTTCTCATAGTTTTCTTTTCAACTTGATTTCAAATACTTGATCATATAATCAACTGAGTTTTTCACTCTATGATTTTTAATTAGTATTTTGCTTCATTTTCTGAAGTAGTCTTTGTTACGTATTTGATCTGTCTAACCACTTTTATTGCTGAGGATAATTTGGCTAATCCAGATTAAGACGTTGACGCGATAAGCTGACCGACCTAACCTTGAGTCTAGTACGCGTAAGTTCGAACTGGGGTATAAACAAGAAAACCATTCTATCACCTGACTGGCTGACAGGAACGCGAATTAGAGAAGACAAGTCAACTGGAACACTACTCTATTTATTCCCAATTCCGATCTGGTTCCTGATTTCAGATCAGTGTAAAAAGATGCATGAATAAATAGATGACTAACTAGACCACATTGTACAATAATTAGGAAAAGTACAATTATGTCCAAAGCTGGGAAAATAGAGTACAAAATATTATGTTTATGTTGTAACGGGTGGATTGCAGGTTAGATGCGCAGCGTATTTATCGATCGAATCAGTGACAGGTAAAACATGTAAGGACGACCTAGAGTCCCGACCGGTCCGGCTTCCCTGTCTAGACCAACCAGTTGAGTCTAGAACGCAAGTCACAGCCTCTGAGTTATGAATCGCTATATTTCAAACATACTCTGTTTATATACCAACCAAACAGACCACATCTTACCATAAAAATAGAAAACAACATCTGTACAATATTTAAAGAGTGAAATAAATAACGGCCAATGGGGAATGCCCATTTAGAGTCTAAGGACATCATTAGACTTAACATGATAATGATTGGTATATTCCTCAGCATCCCTAACAGTTTAAATTTCAATAGATTTGGAACAGAAAGGGCTATGACAGTGAATCATACATCAAACGAAAGCTTATGATGTGTAGAATAGACTAGGGACATAAATAAATGTTAATGTTTTACAAGCTTTGCATAAAATGAAATAACGTCCAGAAAATAGCTTCCGTAGTTTGTCAAGGCTTCTTGTTTCTCTGTTCCTGTCAGTCTTTTCTTATGAGTCTTTATTTGGAACACTTCTTTCTCAAAATGATTAATGTTGAATAAACTCTTTGATCTATCAATGATTAGAAATATTCAAATCTATTCATTTTTACTTAGATAGATATATTAACATCTATGCATAATTGTAAGCAGCTGATAAGAATATGATGAAATGAAATTGATCCATATAGTTTTACTAAATTCATTTTGTCAGCATAGTTTTGTTGTGGTTGTTGAATTTTGACTGAGTTTATGGATCGATCAGTGTTAGACTATCATTGAAAACTCTCATTAGAAATGTGAAATGGTTGAAGATAAGCATCGATACTGTCTCAGTAATCTAGAGGTTAGACGTCCACCCACGGGATCGAAGGTCCTGGATCCGAATCACACCGTGGATGGGCACTGTTGAAGATTACCATATTGGGACAAAACAACCCTCCGTGAGCTTCCAGGTTTCCAACAGTGGTCTGACATTGATCAATTCATAACCTCAAATAAAATCTTTTTGTTTGCTTCATTCACATTAACGAATGGAACTATGTGTATTAATATGGGAATCGTTTATAATGAACTTGCATCAGTTATTTTATAGAATGTCAGTAACAAACCTAGAGAAGGCCTCTTATTTATTTATTTAATTTTAATCATCATCAGGTAAGACTATAACTTATGGACAACCATTGAGCTACACTGAACTGACCTTGAGAGTGTCCACCTAATAAGTAGGACTAAATGAGCGTTATAAATCAGTATGAGAATTTTAAATCATGATTTACAGTTGATGGTTAGGGTTAGAGTTAGATTTAGGGTTTTCATCACGAACTGACATCAGGTAGAATGCCAAAACTCTATTTAACCATATAGATGAATGAATTTTGCGCCAAAATCCGTGGTGTTAACTTACGTCTGATTGGTTGGTCCATAAATTATAGTCTTGCCAATTTACAAATAATCTAGCAATGTTTAATATAAGTCTTTCAAGTACGTATTATTGTCTAAATAGTTCATTATGTTATGTTAATTTTGATTTTAGAGTTTTCAAATACATCTCAACTATCAGAACAAATGAATAATTCAGATGCATTACCTTCATTGCATAATCTCTCATCATTATCTCCATTGTCTTTGTTATCTACTCCGTCTATGTACAATAATCTATTACAGAATGATTCCTTTACACAATTATCTAAAACAGGAACACCATTAATGACGGCAACACCTGTTAATCAAACATTCAACTCTTTATTAAAAGAACAAAACAATGGATGTAGTCGGACTAATCGTATGGCATGTTCCGATTGGAAAATGATACAACAAATAGAAAAACATGTATTCACATCATTTGTTACAATTTATATATTGGCACATGCAATTTTTATATTTTGGCTTTATTTCGATGTAAGTTATCTTGGGGGGAAATTGTTAATTTAAAAGAATACATTGTAATATAATTTTATTTAAATCTTACCTAATCTCTGTTAAGTTATCAGCATCATATTATGGTGTGTGTGCGGTACTTATGTTGATATAAGTAGTATATGACACCAGTCAGAAATGAAATGTCTAGGAGCAGAAAATTGGGAAGATCGAATCGAAGAGAACGGGTATAGAGAGTGATATTTATGGAAATGAAGGAGCAATAACGTTTAAAACAGTTGATGGACATTTTTCAAATGAAGTATTGGACATATGGTATTTACAAGTTGTCGCAACTTATGTTTCTGTTCATTACAGAATAACTTAAAGCTTCACCGTACATGTATGTGAATGAGGTCTAATATATTAACAAAGAATTTAGATAGTAATAATGAAAATGGCTTTATCGTAAAATGAATTCGACTCACTACTAACTTATAGTACGTTCATTAATGTTCTGTGAAGAGGAATTACTGGATAGAACTCTCTCTCTCTCTCTCTCGGGATCAATAAATGTTGCAGTTGCTCAAAATAAAAGACTGAAATACTCTCGTTTAATTGAGATAATCATGATCCTAGAGAAGGAACATCCTTACTTACTGTTACTCCCAATGGAGCATAGGCCATCGACCAGCATTCTCCAACGCACTCTGTCCCTATTCATTATTCATAAAAGGTTACATTGATATTTGAAAGAAAATTAATCTCTAACTTAAAATGACACCTATTCGATAAATTTTAATAATCAATAAAATCTGTTAAAAAGGGAACTACTATAGCCAACACTCCTACAGTTAATTTTGATCAAACCCTTTTATTAACTTATTTAACAGACAGTGTTATTCGGACGGTAATAGTTCGTCTATTTATTTGTATTATTATGATCATTATTATGTTTGTGTAAAGGTGTATGCTTGATCACATGTGACAGCCTACTTACATATCTCTCTCTAGCTTAAATGTTAATCTCTTAAATATCTTTCGATGAATCATTCTTGTTCCCATGTCTATATGTCCTCGAAACTTATTATTAGCCTTTGTCTTACCTAGCTGTGCCTTGATACGATTTGATTAATAAATTTACCTCTGTATTCGCTCATATACACACATTTTCCTCTCTGCTTCATAATCTTTCGATGTGCTTATAACTTTGTTACCTGTATTGTCCGCTAAAATAAACTACATTCACCGCTTCTTATTATCTTCTAAATTCAAACATGATTATCAAGGTGACTGATTAAACGAAGCTAAGTCACTACACTACAATAAGATTATTTTATAAAACATATAAAAATGTGTCATTTTGTTGAGGATTTATGATAACAATAATACAATTTCATGGCTTCTGAAAATGAACACATGTATAATTAAAGAACTAAAAGATGACATAGATATAAGTACCATATGTTTGTCTGACATAATTAAAAGACATAAAATGTCAGCATAGACTTGGATACAATTTAATTGCATTCTAATTACTAACAACAGTAGCAATGGTAACAACAACAGCAACACCAACAATAGCATAGCAACAACAACCACGATAGCAACAACAACATAATGTTGTATATTTGAAGTGTATGAGTGTTGTTGTTCTTGTTGTTTAAACATCTGTATTAACTAATTACTAAGTGATTATTATTACTATTATTCTATTGTAATAGAAATCTAATATTAATGTTAAATATAATTAAGACTTAGTCGAAACAGTTTTCTTTACTCCAAAAAAGAATTTATTTTTGGAATAGAAAAAAGGTACAAATTCTTACCGTAGTTACTGTCGGGTGATGGTCGAAAATGATCCAAAGAATAGTTGAAGTTTGAACAACTGTCTTGTTTTTCGTAAGGTTAAAAGCAAGATCTTTAGGGTATATATATATGCATATTATAGACTCTACACTAATCATGATATATTTGAATTGTGATTAGAAATAGAATCTAGGACCTGCTCTAATTCCTATTTGGTGATGGTTAACTATATGAAATGCATATCATGAATTTCAATGTTAACAACGATCTGTAGTGTTGGTTGATATTGTTAGGCCTATATACTTTATTCTAGCTTCTGGATAGGTCAATTTATCCGTTCTTCTTGAGTCACGTTTTAACGTTCTTAATTATTCACTTATGAACCTTGACTGTTTTTATATGTGTGTACATCTTATCCTACTCACCACATATCTATAACTTATTTTTGTGTGACTATAAATATCGATTAACGCTTGATTAAATGGAGGTGGCTCATATGCCTTTTACACTGCGCGTCGTTTCGCTCACTTCTTCCCTTCCTTTGCTACGTCTCTCTGATTATCTGTTCCGCTAAACGATTGTATAAAATATATGTATTGGAAAATACATTCTCGAATTTGGCTTATATAATTCCATTATTCACTAATGCGATCTAAATCGATAATTATGTACGAGGATTGATGATATGTATAATTCGACAGCAATCAAGCATGCGATATAACTGGAGTCATACCTCTGGCCTCTAAAGTGGTGAGCATGTCGACAACATCGTCCGGTCTAATTGACATCTAAATGAAGGGCCACTAAAGATCCAAATTAATAGAAACATGTAAAGAAAGCCTATATATATATATCGTATTGGCTTTTCTTCATTAATGGAAAATAACACACTAGTAACCGATAGTCTATTTAAATAGTGTACATTCGACATTAAACTTATGTTAACAAGTAATCTCCACTGTTTTCAATCCATTCTGTCCTGGGCCTTCCTTTCTAGTTCTTCACATGTCTGTCTCTAGTTCTCGGTGTAATATGTTCTTTGATTGTACTCTTCTCCTTTGACCTTGAAGATTTCAAGTGGGGGCTTGCCCTATGATGCAGTTGGGTACTTTCCTCAATGTCCCAGTAGGAAAATAACTTGGAACGTTTTCTTTTGTTCCCTTAAAGTATTTTCTTTTAACCTTGCATTTTATCATCGTTCTAAAGATTATCCAGTAAACATATCCAAATGTAACATTAGTGTTTTTCTTTCTAAAAAAAACCCACTGAAAAGCATATCAAGATGGTTATCATTGAATTTTTATTGTCATAAAATGGATCCAAATGTAATAGATTAGTGTACTGGTTGTGATGTTTATTATTTCTTTTTGTACTTTGGTTCATTATTTATTATACACACTTTTAATGTTGCACTATACTTTTCCGTCTAACTACCATTTATCACTGTATAAGTTAACCGTACTTAGGTAACAAACAAAAACAAAATGGAAAATAACTATCCATATCAATTTATAACTTAAGATTACTTAGTGTGTTAGATCAATGCTTATCTTTGAAGTTCAACAGTTAGCATCAAAAGCTTGTGTTGAATGGGCATTCACTGAACTCTTATCTTTCCATCCCAATTATGTAGAACATCGAGTTGAGATCGAATTTAATATATTGTATATTGATTTTGTAATAAATCATGGTATAAAGCCTTTACTGCTAAATGAACGTGTATTTAAGTTAACTATCACATTATGGATCAAATAATGACAGGTTTCCCAGTGGAATATTTCATTAATCAGTCACTTAGGTGTTTTACAACACAGAATCTGATATAAACCTTGTGCAGCATCAGGCTGTCCATAATGAATATTAAAGTAATAAATGTAACTATTAAATTAGCTTTAGTAAAAATGATTTAGAAATGGAAAATTATTTCTTAGGATGGAAACTTTAGGACTCAGCATCTAATAGAAGGTAAAGAATGGATGCATACAATTATTATCTAAGTAAAGATATAAATTTCAAATTTGAAAGTCATATTTGTCAGTGGAGATAATCCGTGTCGGGTAGAAACAGGTATCTACCTCAGATAATGGAAGATGGTAGTGAAATTTTGTGGACTGGTTGAGGTTAGATATTAACACCATTGGATGCTGGCCGGCTCAGTGGTCTAGAGGTTAAGAGTCTGCGCGCGAGACCAAAGGCTCTGGGTTCGAATTCCGCCAGCAGGATCGTGGATGAGTACTGCTAAGGAATCACAAAGTGGGACGAGACGGATGTCTAGTGCTTTCAGACTTCCAGTTGTGGTCTAACATCAATCGGTTCATGATCTCAATCAAAAAGTTAGTAATCTCCACAATCCCATACTGATATTTGTTAGTGTTTGATTTCAGTTGAGGTTAGGGGTGTGTATTCTTTAGCAGTCCCACACTAGAATAAGTGTTCCCCAGTTTTCAGTGATATCATAAATTGGATCAATCAATGATGGATATCACCTACAAATTAAGGTGTTCACCATGAAAATCCTATGTTGAATGATGTATTGAATTAATTTCTCTCATCTAAATAAGTTTAAGATTAAATATTTCCGTTATTAACAGATGATTTGTAAAACAAAAAGAAAGTATCAGAATGGAGTTTTGCGGATATTGTAATTACTTTTAATAGTTGGATTCATGAATTGATTAAAACTAGATCACTATGGAAAACCTGGTAGCACTTGACAGCCGAAGGTCTTGTGTTCGAATTCCACGGGATAGAATCGTGGATGCGCACTGCTGAGGAGTTCCACAGTAGGAAGAAATGGACGTCTAGTGTTTCCAGCTTCTGTATGATGGTCTAGCTTTAATCAATTCATAAATTCAAATATTAAAAAAGACAGTGTTTTGTTTCGCTGTAAACAATTTACACATGTCTTTTATTGACTAACTGACATCCCAGTGATTATATTACGTGGAAATAGAATTTTATTCTAGTATATTATCTGAATAATTACCTTTTACTTGAGCCATTCAATAAACACAAAGGGAAAAGCAAGATTCTTCGATACAACACAACATGCACCAATCCAATCAAAATTGACGGAGAAGATTTGGAAGATGTAACAACCTTTACATATCTGGGCAGCGTCATTGATGAACAGGGTGGATCTGATGCAGATGTGAAGGCGCGGATCGGCAAAGCAAGAGCAGCATATTTACAACTGACGAACATCTGGAACTCAAAACAACTGTCAACCAACACCAAGGTCAGGATTTTCAATACAAATGTCAAGACTCTTCTACTGTATGGGGCAGAAACCAGGAGAACTACGAAAGCCATCATCCAGAAAATACAGGTGTTTATTAACAATTGTCTACACAAAATACTTCAGATCCATTGGCCGGACACTATTAGCAACAACGTACTGTGGGAGAGAACAAACCGGATCCCAGTGGAGGAAGAAATCAGGAAGAAGCTCTGGAAGTGGGTAGGACACACATTGAGGAAAGCACCCAACTGCGTCACAAGACAAGCCCTCACATGGAATACTGAAGGCCAAAGGAAAAGAGGAAGACCAAAGAACACATAACGCCGAGAAATGGAAATAGACATGAGAAAAATGAACAAGAATTGGATGGAACTAGAAAAGAAGGCCCAGGACAGAGTGGGCTGGAGAATGCTGGTCGGTGGCCTATGCTCCATTGGGAGTAACAGGCGTAAGTAAGTAAGTAAGTAACTTGAACCATTGGTATTATAGATTGTTATTAATTGCTTTACATAAATAAGAATTAGTTAAGTCAACTTTTATGTGGTTGTTTTCGATTAAACATTTTAGGCAAGTAGACGTAGACGAGAAATGACTCAGAAGGATAAAGATTATAGAGTAAGTTTTGACAATCTATTTTATTGATTTCCCTGCACTCTTTGTAATTTTGTATTTTTTTATCAATAATCAGTTGTTTTACATGTGGATTAGAAACGTAGTTGATCGTTATCAAATGGTTGGGGGGGGGTTACTCGAGTTAAACAGGTATGGTGAGATTGACTAGCTAACGTCGAAGCCATACTTCATGGTCAGTACCTAATGAAGATTACCATTTCGTTGTATCCGTGTACAAAACCTGCTCTGATAGCCGTAAAACACATACAATGTTATTACTGAAATTTATTAGTAGTTAGTAGTTACAAGAAACAGAGTGCAACCATTGCTGCATGAACCAATCCATGGTGTGCTGTTAACTGATATGCGTTGATTGTTCTTGACCTTGTCGAAGATTGATGAACTGTTCAATATTTACTGGCCTGACTACCGGATGATTTGACTAGGGCTCAGTGACATTTCATTGGCTCTACATATACAAAAAGTATAATTACTTTTTACATGGATAAAAGTCATTTTCGAAATAACGGTTATTAGATTTTACTAATAAAATCAGTAACTTGTCATTCAACGAATACTTTCAAAGCAGATTCCCTTTTTCACAGTGCCTACAATGCTCCCCAAAAAACACGTTAGAAGTAACTGAAAATAGATTAATGGTAATAAAGAAAGATATGAATCAAAATCAGTCAGAAAGAGTTGCATTAGTGAATGACGTAATAAATAAAAGGAGGGGGTCAATGTTATCAAGGCAAAGAAAGATTTATTACTGTTTCTTTTTGTGTACATAGATCTGGTTTTAGACGTTTGATTGCTATCGCTTCGGCAAATTTCAAAAGGTTTGAATTTGATTGTTTGTTGATCATCTTGAAGGATTTCAATATATCGACTTCATGTCCTGTGTCAAGGAGATGTCTTGCGATAGTGCTGCTGAATGCTTTAGTCCATTTGATCTCAAACCCTTTGGAATATGTTTTTTGAATCGGACGTAGGCTCTAATTTGCTTTATAACTTCTGTGCACAGTAATTTCTCTATACTTTTTATTCATCTATCTGAATATATATACATAGATAGTGTTTTTTGGCAGTTTATAATGTCATTGTTAAGGAACATCCTGTTACATAATCAGTTTTAGAATAGTTTGAATATATTTGTTCTTCTATTTATTTCACCATTCTTTGTTAGCATTACTGATATTATTCACTGACATCTAATATTGTAATTAATTAGTTATTATCTATGATTAACATACTATATACTTTAATTTCAAAGAAGTACTTGGATGCTTTTCTTGTACACAGAGGATTCGGCAAAGATAATTTCCTTTTCGATGAAATCATTTCCTTAAACTGTACATTCATATTTATGGTTACATGGAAAATATAAGTCTATAGAAGCATAGAAAAGATTGCATCATCAATTGATTTGAGATTCTTATTATCAAATGAGGTTACACAATAATCAAGGAGTAAGGAAGGAATATAAGTTCACTTGATATTGTTTTGCTTGAATCTTCCCATTGAGGTTTAAGACTGCAATTGATCAGTCTTTTTTTATCAGAGCATTTCGATATTGCCAATTAGGATGAAACGTACGTCAAACTGGATTCCACTACTAGCCATTATCCATCTTTGCATATAATGCTTGTGAATTAAGGCAATATCGAGACAATACATATAGTATGCACATATGACAATAAAAGACTGATCAATTGCAATCCTCATCATCAATCGGAAGATTCAAGTAAAACAATATTGAGTAAAACAAAATTCACCCCATTGCACAATCAAGTGGCTACCAGGACTCAGTAGCTAAGTGGAGAACGCGATGGTGCTTGAAGAGAGCGGTGCCGGGTTCCAGTCCCGGATCAGACGTCAATCCTGAGATACACGTACATCCAGCTGACGGTACCTAAATAGGACGAAACACGCATCTTGGATTCTACTGATAGTCATTGTCCATCTCATTATTATTATTATTATTATTATTATTATTATTATTATTATTATTATTATTATTATTATTATCACTATCATTATTATTAATCTGATTATTGATTCATAAGTCTGTTTCTGGTGAAGTTAATGTACGTGGATTATCGAAGATATTACAGATGGAAATTAGTTCGACTCTACTAAATGGTAGAGTAATTTTTAATTGATTAATAACCAAGTTCAGAACTTTATACATCATTTCATTTTAAATATATACACTTTCAAAGACATACAATGGTCATCGACTAAGTATAGTATATTGTATATCTGAATATCAACGTATTATCGCCTTTCAAAAGCTACTTTTGGTTATGTTCTGAGGTATGTTTAGAAAGCATTTATTTGGTACGGTCGATGTAATTAACCCTACAAGAGTGAATATACATATAGTTACAGATTAATGTGACCTTAAACGGAAGTTTCACCTTAACTAAGGTCATGCAGAAGACAATTCAAAGCTTCGCTAAATAGATTGATTTTTTAAAATTTTACAATCCTGTTTATCATCATTTCTTCAGCAGTATCTCCTTTAAATTCGATATTCATGAATGGTGTTTTCTTTTGAAATAAGGATGATCTTTCAGGTTGTACCTTCAGTTTCATTCTTCTATCAACGAACTAAGTTTAAGAAAACCCATTTCTAGTGATACGTCTCGTCGATTGAACGCTATATTTAGTTTCCTAAGCTATCTGGTAACCCGCAGACTGGAACTATACAGCGACTTGAACACCAGAGAGAAGACACAAGTATGAAAGAAAATACTTTATCCCAAGGTTCATTTTTGTACAGAAAATCAAGGGTATTTATAGATGTTGGCGTCTGTTAAATCAACATCATATTTCAGCCAATGAGTTAACGTCATAATATGCTACCGACCAATAATAGCACGCCACGCTGGAATTCTTGAACGTTCCATCGTACTCTGATTGACTAGGATCCTTCGGCTCCTTTTGGGCCTCTGGAGGCTCCATTGAAGTTCTCCGGAAGTCGACTCAACATCTAGTGAATATTCTTCAGAGTTCAAGTATTTCATTGTATATTCTATTATTGTGAAATATTCACTTAGCCTTCAAAGTCTTTGACTAAGTTGATTTTTGCTTTATGCTCGTTCATATTCTAACCAATAGAAAGTAACTGCTGATGAATTCATTTACTAAATGCAAATAATATTCTCTTTCATCAGTTACTAGGCTTTATTTTCAATACTTTATTATGAAGAATGGATATAATAAAACGACTTTGTATTGTTATATTCAGTTAAAATGACTTCATATTATAGCAAATTAGATTTACATAAAGTAGATGAAGAAGATCAGCAGTAAATCGATCATTGACTTAAATTTCTTTCTATTACTCGTTAAATAAACCCCAAACTTCTGTTCAAGGAAATGATAATAACCTTGAGAAGTTCATATAAATGATATTTAATGGCATAATAAAAAATCATAAGAACTTCAAGTTGAATATTTTTTTATTATCTGTCGTAAAACACAGATAGAGTTCACCGAACAGTTCCACTATGTTAGCCGGAGAATTTCAAGACATATATATATATCAGAAGGAGTTTTGTGGATATTATAGTAATTTTAATAAATGTAGTGGAAATCAGTGACCAATGGAGTTGTTGTGTGATAGTAACTTACTGATGACAATGGTAGATATGTCGCTCAATTTCATGGATTACTTAAATTTACACATTAACTTCATTGAATGCCGGCTTCATGTTCTAACAATTAAGCGCTCACATGCGAGACTGATAGATCCTAGATTCGAATCTCGCGAGATGGGATTGTAGATACGCACTACCATTGAAGAGTCACATATTAGGACGAAACAGTCATCCAGTGCTTTCAAGTTCTCCATGATAGTGGTCGAGCTTCAATTATCTCATGATCTCATCTATCAACATTATATATATATATATATCTGTATCTTTCCAAAGTATTCTATATCATAAATTGACATTTGAATTATCATCAACTTTAAACTTATCTTTATTTTTCTTCTATATTCTCTTTTTTATTTACTGCATGTTATTCATTATTGTTCATTTATTGTTTCATTGTTTCACAATGTCCATAATAAAATACAAATCAAAATGTTCTCTAATGCCTGTATTGTTTAATTGAATATCATTTTGCATGTATAATTCATGTCAATTATGTGTAATTCATATGGATATTATTAATTTCATATTGTTGTTAACTAAATGTCTCTTTAATATCTATACACTTCAATAATAATCAATGGCTTTATTTGTTACCTATCGGTTACGTCATAATATCTGTATCTATATATGTTTGTATACGTTTAAACTAGGCATTTTTACAACGTAATCGTCAATGGCAAAATATAGAGAAACCAAAAGATATGCATGCAACTAATCAACATTCATCAATTTCATTACAAACTGCATGTTCATAAATAAGAATTAAAGAGAACTCATTCAGTATTTATGACAATGTATAAATCCATATGATGATAAATATAATTTCTGTTCAGTTTTTGTTTTTTCTTTTTTCTCTTCTTTTTTTTCTCCTTTTTTTTCTTCTTTTTCATTTCAATTCATTTAAACGTCGTCATGTAGTAACTTGTATTTGTTCCGATGATTACGTCATATAAGGTTGTAGTTCATCTAAATTATTGAATGATCGACTATGATGTTTATATTTTGAATTCATGTAGGTTATTGTTCCATAAAATTGATTTTTTGTATCTAAGCTTCACTTTGTTTTTTTGTGTGAGAGAGAGTTTTGTTAAATAACTGATGTATATGGTTGATATATTGACTATATGGAACGTTTATTAGATTTCACAGGTTGAAATCATGAGTCAATTGAAGCTGGACTACCATAGGAAACCTTGAAGCACTGGAAGGCCGTTTCGTCCTATTGTGGGACTCCTCAGCAGTGCGCACCCATACTAGAACGAAACGACTGTCCAGTGCTTCAAGGTTTTCCATGGTGGTCTAGCTTCAATTGACTCATGATTTCAACCTGTGAAATTT